GGATCGCGAGAAGCAGTCGCTGAAGCTCAGATGCAACCGGATGGCCGTCACTTGTGGATGCAGACGGGGCAGGACGACTATCAGCGTCATGAGCTCCGCGCCTATTCTCTTTCCTGTCAGGAGTGCAGCCCGGAGTTCCGATTTGAAAGAATGTAGGGATGAGGGAGTTGTCGACCGGTTGATTTGATGGAAGCCCTCCATTTCCAGGGGCAACGGTGCTAAGTCCAGGTCTCCGGTTCCTGGGCGTAGAGTTGATCCCGTCATCAGTCTCCTTCTCAGACATCGGGGCATTGGAGCTGAGCCCAGATCCCGCGGAGTGGATAGGAACGTCAACAGGGTCGTGATGAGCGGGGGGATTAGATCGCAATCGGAGGGCAGCTTCACGTCTTTCGGGTGACTCAGAGCTCCTCTTTGTGGCTCGCGAGTCAGTGCCGGTTTGTCCCGACATGTTATCGAACGATGACGATCCGCGATGTTGAGCTTGATCTGGATCAGGTTGAGTGAGATCAAGCCGTTGAGCTACGTCATCATTGAATGGCTTAGGGGAAAGTACTTTGGCAACGCGGCTCGGCGGGAGCGATGTCGTTCGTCTCTCTGGTGTGACCTGGGGCCTCATCGATTACATCGAGGATCCCAGGGATGGTTTCATCATCTTCATTTCCTCTCCTGGGTGGCTGATGGAAGGGGATGTCGAGAAGGTCGAAGGGAGTAGACCCAATACCAGGTGTATCCTGCTCGGATCCATCGCTGGTACGGTGGCTGGACTGCTCCTCGAGGTCGATGACGTCGGGGGCGGACTCTTTCCGAGTCCGATGCCGATTGAAGGCCGCGAAGAGACCGGCATGGCTTCTTGACGAAGTGGAGGAAGGATTTGGGCCTGCTGTTTCGCGGCCCGCGTCCGATCGATGAGTACCTGATGCTTGATTTGGCGGATTTGAGCCCGCGTTGTAGCGGTTCGCGTCCCGACCTTGAGTACCTGAGGAGAGCGGTGGATTTGGACCAGCGTTGTAGCGGTCCGCATCCCGGTCGCGGGTACCTGACAAGTGAGATGATACTGCATCAGGGATGAAGTCCATATCCGCCGGACTGGGGTGATCGTGAACGATGTCAATATCGGATGAACCTGAGACAGGAGGAAGGCCAGCTATTTGCGGCCAATCCTCAATCGCCCGTTTGCCCGCCTCGGGTTGGGCCGAACCTGCAACTTGAGAAGGGGAGAAATCTTCATGGGGTCATTTTCTCCATCATGAGGAAAACCCTGAATAGGCTCATGCGTTGGCAGGGCGTCGAAAGATCTGTCAATCCGGGAAGGTTGAGATCTCCAATCAGCATCAATAAGGGATTGAATATCCAGATTCCCAACCGAGATGGGGGCACCCGAGTCGAAGTCGAGTCGACCGAAATCAGGCGGTGTGGCCTGCGATCCACTGCCGAGGAGCTGGTCAAACTGATCCCATGTAAGGGACCAAGATTGAGCCGGCTCCGGATGAGCAGCATGATGGGCAGCCCGGTCTTCGATCTGGAGCACCACGAACGGAACAGTAGGCGAAATCGACGAGGGCACCTGATTTGGAGGAACCACAGCCTCTTCTAGAGGGGGTTCGTCCTCGATCTGTAGCACTGCCGCCGGGATAGGGGCCTCCGCATCCTCATCAAACACGACCTGAGAAAGGATCCAATCGTCCGTGATCACCCCGGGATTGGGCTCTGCGCCCACCATCGGGGGAATGGGCCACAGCCGGCTGTCTAAGCCGGGGGCAGCATGCGCGGCGTTGCCGCGAAGGGCGTTGGCCTCGTCGTCCACGAAGCCTGGCCCACGATGTGAAGCTCCAGGGGACGCCATTGTGTGTACAAGTAGGCGAGGGAGCAGGTAGCGGGTCACGTCCCGCAACCGGATCACCAGCCCCAGCTTCTAGCTGGTACGGCTGATAACCTGCGGTTTTGGGCGGAAAGGGCGTTGCCCAGGGAATCAAAAGGGTTCACGTAATCCACGAAGAACCCAAAGAACCCGGACTCACGACTCAGTGGACTGAAGCCGGTGACCAGGTTGAAGGACGTGATGATTGAAGTAGTAGTGGTGGAAGTGAAGGTTAAACGTAAGTTGCAATAGATCACCTTAACCAAGCCCAGGCAAGTCCTGCCGCAGCACCACCTACCTCCTAGCACCAGCCCACCCCAGCGCCGAGAGTCCTTTCTCGGCGACGCAGCGAGATGCCGTGCTATGGCGAGTGCCGTGCTACCAAAACTAACCTGACGGGAGGTTAAACTTGAGCCAAACGGCCATTCGGCCGATTCGCTTATGATAGAACAACACGTGAACGAAACACACTTACGATTGGGACTCAGTCCCTTCTTTAGCGGAACCTCCAACATGATGGGCTTTCTTTTGGCTTCCCTTTAAATACCAGTAAAAAAATGGTACCCTACCACAACAAGTTACCCCCCCGCCCCGCTTGGTATAAACGGGAAACCAAAAGGACCTGGAGAGGGTCACTAATTCTGAGAAACACCCATACTGTGGATGGACGGAATCCACTTCGCAGTTGGTAGGGGTCTGTGGTCTATCCCATAATCGGGGTTCATCCCTCCCATGCAGGATTTTGTCCATCCACAGTTGGGAATTAGAGGGAACCATGGAGAGTTGGGTTTCCGAATAAGGACCCACAAAAAGCCATGGAAGCCATTAACCACAAGGAACCCCAAAGCAAAAGGCAGAGGGAAGCATAGGAAAACCAAGAAGAAAGCCCTCGGGATGCAGAGGCAAGACTCAGTTCTGGACAGAAGGCAACCGGCCAATGCACAAAACAAAAGGACCCTGGAGTGAAAAGTCTGTTGATTCATCTGGGTTGAAACGGAAAATACTGGCCCCATCCACTGGAATGTCTTGCTTGCTCTTAGGGAATATGGGCTTAACATGCAAACCAACAAGCTTTGCAGAGCATGGTAGGGCATCAACCTGCTTTTCGGAAAGAAACCTGCAAAGCCTGCCTGTTAAGCGCGCGGCTGCATTGCTTGTGCTGAACAAAAACCTGCTGACCATCTCAAAACCAAACACACTGTCCACTTTGTATTCTTTAGAGGAAATTAATGGGGTGAGCGGCAAATGGGGTGAGGCCCGAGGACGAAAACGACAAGAAAACACCGCAAACACCCGTGTTTCCCCGGAAAAGCACGTTCTTTCCTTCCGGCGCTGAAGGTAATTGTCTCCAGGGCTTGCTGGCTTGCTGGCTTGCTGGCTAGCTTGCTTGCTTGTGTTTGGTTGCTGTGCTGCGCACAAAGCGGTCAAGCCATTTATTGCTGCACGCATTCTTGAGGGCACGTTTAGTGTAGAAAGGCAACCAGTTTCTGCGTCGTGGCGTTGATTCGGTGTTTCAGGCTGTTCTTAATATCACCCATGTTCGGCCTGCAACAGGCAACACAATCTCAGCGGTCTTTAACACAATGTGTCAGCTTACTTAGACGCATGCCCTAAACATAGAACCGTGCAGGAAGTGAAAAGTTGCTACGGAAAGCCGGTGTTGGCCACGACTGCTGAGTTCCTATATATCGTTGTGGGCTTTAGCACGACTTCTTAAGATTTCTCAACAGAAATTGACCGACGCATCAAACTCAGGAGTGTCATTGTGACAATGGGTGTCACCGTTTGGGACCATGGGTGTTTGGGACCCACAATTTGGGACCATGCGTGTTTGGGACCATCGTTTGGGATTATGGGTGTTTGACCACCCTTTGGGACCATGCGGGTGTTTGGGAACACTGTTTGGGACCACCTTTTGGGACTATGGGTGTTTGGGACGCACGGTTTGGGGCCGGGCGTTTGGGACCATGGGTGTCTGGGACCAGCTGTTTGGGACCATGGCTGTTCGGGACCAGCTGTTTGGGACTTACCAGCTGTTTGGGGATTGGGACCGGGTGTTGGGGACCAGTTGGCTGGGACCACCGTTTGGGACTATAGGTGTTTGGGACCACCGTTTGCGACCATGGGTGTGGGGTGTTTGGGACCAGTTGTTTGGGAGCATGGGAGTTCGACAGGTGTTTTGGACCATGGGTGTTCGGGGTTTGGGGCCATGGGTGTTTGGGACCAACTTGGACCACTGTGTTGGGATTATGGGTGTTTGGGACCAGCCGTCTGGGACCACCGTTTGGGACCATGGGTGTTTGGGACCACTGTTTTTGGGTGGAAGGAGGAACCATCGCAACCCCAGCTCCCAAACCCATATGATTGTTGCTTTTTGTCTGTCTAAAATCAACGGCTGTTTTCTGCTGTTTCATGGTTTTTTGCGCTGCTTTCTGCCTTCGTCTGCCCTGAAGCCTCGCCCCATTGCCCTTCACCCCCTTTATTTTTCTCTGAATTCTGGTATACCGTCCCACCAACAAACATGGAAATGAACATGCTCCCTCCAACAGGAAAGCAGTCTTCCAAAAGGGTCTGTGCACCAAACCAGGTTTGTCGTTTGGAGGGCAATTACCAGGTTTTGAGGTATGGCTGTGGGTCAAGAAGATGTACCCCAAATGGAACCCTGCTAAGTGGAAAATATGAACCAAAACCTGGTCGCCTGGTAGTTTGATTTTGACCCATACCCGTATGTTCTCACCCATCATGCACTTCACAAGCGCAGGGCTCGAAGCGAAGTGTGATTTGTGAACTGCCTGGTGCAGCCTGAGAGGTGCCTGCAACCTGCACAGCGAGCCCGCTCATGACCCAAAAGGTGGGTTCCGGTGTCACGGAGACCTGTGCAGGGGGTTGGTGTGGGTTCGAAAGCAGGATGCAATAATTAGCACTGCTGAGGACCTTCTTGCGCAGGGAAGAATAAGTGTTCAGCAACCTTGCCAAAGGCTTGGCTCTGTTAATCTTCCGGCATTTTGATATGTAAAAGTCGTATGTCTCTGTACCAACCCCCTTTCTCACGGCTTAGGAAAAACGCTCAGCCCCAAACTCAGCTCTCCTCGAGCTCTCGGGTGGCCTCCCTCGAGCCACACGGAACCGGAACCCCGGCGGCCTGTGCTCTCGTTCCGCGGCATCTTGCACACGAACCTCGGAGCGCGCGGCCGAAAAATATGGCTGTGGGGCAAGAATAGGGTAACCCCAAAATGGCTTGCCCTGGCAAATGGAAACATGGACTAGAACCTGCGGTTTTCTGTTGGTGGAATTTTGACCCATACCCATATGAGGATCCCTCCAACGGCGAGGAGAACACCCGTAGAACTGCTGGGCAAAGCACTCGGTTTCTAGCCAACGCGGAAAAACTCAGGCAGGTGAAACAGCCAGGCACTGGATGCACCATGTCTGCGGCTCGCCTTCGACGTTGTGCTAAGACTCAAAATTAGGATGCCTTAATCTTCACGACAAATACAAGCTCCTGGTCACAAATTCGGAGTCCTTTCAGAATCCAGCAGCAAAAAAAAGAGGATATTGGTTCCACAAATGAAAAACATCCTGCATTGAAGGCTTCCTGTTCGCTTGACCAACGTCCCGCGCACGAGCCGGCCCCAAAGTTACAGGATTGCCGCAAACATGCCTTGACTTTCTTTTGCCTGCGGTCAAAAATCGAGTCTCCCACTTTTGGGGTGGCATGCACCGAGGCCAGTTATTTCACAACTAGCCATCCGGGCACCGGGCACAAGCAGCTGGGGGAGTTGTTGAAAACACACGGAGCCCAAGGCCCATCTAAGCCAAGGAAAAAATAATAATGCCTCAGATGGCCAAGTTCAGATTGGACCCAAACATGCGAGAGAAAAAAATAAGAAAACAAAAACGACCCACAAATACTGTAATCAAACCCAAGGTAGGAAACGCCCACTTTGGAACAGCCAAGCGTCACCCCCGGCAAGCCAGTCATGCCCGAGAGGAGTTGTTGAAACAAAGAAGGGACCTATGTAGCATCAAGGGTCTAACGGAGGCAACCGCAACTCTACCAGAACACATACGCACACACTCACACACACACACTTATCTCGAGAGGCTTCACTAGCCGAGATGAAAAAACGCAGTCAGTGAAAATGCTTGAATGCAAATGCAAATCAACAGGTCACAACATCGACACCGAACAGGAAGCAACAGCGGCAAACAGAAACCGCAAAAGGAAACAGGAAAGAGGAAGAATGCAGGTACGTCCACATCGCGTCCGACGTGGATTTCACATCCTCTACAGCAGCGTCTTTGTTAGGCAGCGACTGCTGTAGGGACCACTGCCCCCCTGCTGCTAAAAGTTTTGCGTCCGTGCTCCAGGACGGTTCACACACACACAAAGAAACAATAAAAGACAACTGCGGCATGGGCAGGCACGATGTAGCAACTGATTCACACATGACCTGTGCCTCACAAAAGCTGCCTTGTCGGTCCAACTCATGTCAATGCAGGTGTCGCTCGGACGTGAACGTGAATTGAACTGATCTGAGTCAGCGCAGAGCGTGAATCAATGAACTGCAAAGTCGGTGTCTGACCGGCTTGTCACTCGCGCATGAAGCTGCCGGAGCCTGATACCTCATGAGAGCTGCCTTGTTCAAAACGCAGGCAGTGCAATGCGAATGAAGCTGCCGGAGCCTGATACCTCATGAGAGCTGCCTTGTTCAAAAGGCAGGCAGTGCAATGCGAAGGTGAACTGAACTTGAACTTTTGAACGTCATCCCCTCGCAGGGGGCTCCCGCATATGGCGAGTCCAGCCCACAGCGCCATGTCGGACAGGCCGTGGGTAAACACACTTATCTCGAGAGGCTTCACTAGCCGAGATGAAAAACGCAGTCAGTGAAAATGCTTGAATGCAAATGCAAATCAACAGGTCACAACATCGACACCGAACAGGAAGCAACAGCGGCAAACAGAAACCGCAAAAGGAATCAGGAAAGAGGAAGAATGCAGGTACGTCCACATCGCGTCCGACGTGGATTTCACATCCTCTACAGCAGCGTCTTTGTTAGGCAGCGACTGCTGTAGGGACCACTGCCCCCCTGCTGCTAAAAGTTTTGCGTCCGTGCTCCAGGACGGTTCACACACACACACATGCAACACAGACAAACAATCTTGCACCACCAGCAACCAAGTATTGCTCTCACCGAGAAGAGAAGAATCAGCTGTAATGGAACGTGTGGAAGATTTGGGAAGGGAATCTTTCATTGTTGCTGAGTGGGCCCAAAATAAAAGTCCAAACTGGTTGATTGCCACTGACATGGGCCAAACTCAAAAAGCCGGCGTCTAAGGTCCGAACCGGAAATCCAGTGAATGAATACTGTGGACGAAATCCGTCACCGCTTTGAACCATTGAAACACAGGGGAATCAGAAACCAGGGTTTCTGAACGGTGGCGCGAAATGGAGTAAAGTGTCCGAGCCCTGAGAGATGCAGCAAGAGAAGATCCGGCCAGGGCACAGCACCGGCATCCGGAGGAAGCTCGCTTGCTGCAGGCTGTTCCGTAGCGACCACTGGTCTCCCGCCCGCAGTTCCTAGGGAGGAAACGGGGGCCAGAAGTGAACAAGTTTCAGCTTGGACATGTCCTTTGAACTTTTGGTTGTCGCAACATTGAGAAAGGAAAATGACCACTTCGAGGGGAAGCTGACCTCTGGTCTGAGCTGTGGGAAAAAGGAACTCAAATGAAAACCAATTTGGATATGGTCAAAATAGGGACCATCCAAGCTATTTTAAAGCGAGCGTGATTTAAACCACCAACCTAAAAAGGGGCACCTTTTGCACCAGCACCACCACGCCACGTTTTCGCAGCAAGGCGCGAGCACCACGGATGCGCCGCCCTCCACGTGCACGGGCTCCGTGATGCAGCAGGCGGCCACGTCCCCGCCGTGCTCCAGCTGCACCTGGCCGCTTGTGCGGGCCTTCGAAAGGCGGAACCAACCAAGCAGAGGACCCCTGTAGCAGAAAATAGGCGCAAAGTTCTCACAAAACGGTTCCAAAAAAAACATAACACCAGAATATTGTGTTTGACCTCAGAGCCAAGTTTTCCAGAATTGTGCTTTGTTTGGGTCATGAGAACCAAGTTGATTGATCAATGCCCGCTTGATTGTGATTGGCTGCTGCCGACCACCATTCTAGTTGGGGGAAGAACCCCGTCTTAATTCGCCGGGTTAATCGATCCGGGGTGAACAATGCCTGTAGTATGTGCAACAAATCTGTACTCCTTTTTGGTCCACTGCAAAAGAGAGCACCCACATGAAGCCCACCATTGGGGGGGCAGGCCTGGTTGCAAGACACAATTGCTAGTAATTTGAAATGATGCATGAAATAGACTGGTGGGATGTGGTGCAAAGTGCGGTGGCCTAATGTGATGCTGTGTAGTGCAATCTAAATATTTAACTGCGCAATAAAACGGAAGCTGAACTATGGCGTAAATCAATGCAGTGCAAAGCGTGCCATGCCAGCGTCTGTCATGCCATGCAACACAATACGATACCATCACGTGCCGCACCACGAAATGTCAATGCAATGCCCTCCACTGCCATGCCATGCATGTGGTGTGCTGTGCTGTGCTCACTTGCGTGATGCAGTTTGAAGTAGAGTGACGACACATCGTGTCATACAATGTCCTTTGTCATGCCTCGCCTTGCCTATGTAAATATGGACGTGCCATAAGCCTGAATGTTTTTTCATGTCACCCATTTCCTCATCCCGTCGATTTCTGGTGATCTCCTCGCTTACTACAAGGCTCCGCAGCCCCGTCGCTCGGCCTCCACCGTGTTGGTGGACATCAGCACGCCTCCGCGCACCTTCACCGTGCCACCGCCTGGGCCGCTGGATCACATCCATACGCCAAAAACAGGACTGGGCAAGGATGGAAGTCAGGCAGGACCGCCCCCAATTTGTTCAACATTCAACATCGAAAAGGAAACTCGCGAGAAAAAATGGACCCAACATGTGATGTGTGAAACCACCAAAGTGGGAAATATGGGAACGCTGTACTTGATTGCAGACACCCGGAGTTAGTCCTTTTAGAGCGGATCGGGACTACGTCCCTGGACAGAAGCTTTTGAGGCTCGAGGCATTCTGGAACCCAAATAACCCCGCGGGCTAGTAAAAATGCGGTTTCAAAGTAAACATCTGGGTGAATTGAATGAAAGCCGTCTGCAACTCTGGGTGGCGCCAATCGGACAAATGTCCTCCTTCCAATGAAGGCCAGGTTCCTTTCAGGGAACTTGTCCACGTCCCTTTTGGCAAAAGAGTAGGTGTTCCCTATAACCGTCAGTGGCTACAAATTGCCCAGACTTCGAGGAAAACCGCCCCTGGGCTCCGTGTTGTGATCGGGTAAACTTACGCTTGAATTCTCCAAGCTGGAACCTGTTTTTTGGGGGTCCTTAGAAAAGATGTGCACGGTGTCCTTTGGGTTTGCCTTTGAACCATCCAAAAGGCGGACATCTAGGACCGATACAGGCTGAAGATGATCCCCCAAAAATGATCACATGAGCGCAACAACATACGTCTAACGTCTTGTATGGCAACGGCTGTTCCTGCCGACATCCTGAGACATCCACCGGGCGCTGCTTGGGTGTCTGTCCGTTAAGGGTACCCTTTTTTAGGGTACCCTTTTTTGGTGGTTTTCTAAGGACCACATATTTTTCTTTTGGGGGCGCAAGGGGTCCTCCAAAAAAAAACAAGACATCCATGAACCCACGAAATCTCCAAAACCCCTACCAAATCGACTCGCGAAAAGAAAAGAAAAAAGTCGCAACAAAGTCGCTCGCCTTTAATGGGTCTATTCGCGCCTCGACCCACGGACACGAAGCTGTTGTCGGGCCGGCGTTTCATGATGTCCTTCGGCACCAGCACCTCAGCGCAGAGACCAGCGAGCCCAGGGCTTGAAAGGCATGGGAAGGCCCTGGTTCATCTCAGGTGGCCAAAAACGGCCCAGGCGTGTCAAGCCCCGCACCCCTCAGGGGGTCATTTTTGAGGGAGTTTGAGGGTGCCTAAGATGGGGTGCCCTGGGTCTGCTGAAGCGTGCAAACATGCGGTATGCTGGAAGCGAGGGTTCTAGACATTGCCCAACCACTTCCTCTGTGAAAACCCAAACCTACATGATTCAGTGAGGGATTGCAGGGACAGCCCAACTTTCAACATCAGGTTTCAATGAACAGGCCCTGTTCACATGCCAAACATTCTGGGTAACGCCTTCGCCGGCAAAGGGGGGGCGGCCTCCATTGCGTTGCCGGGGCGCCCATTCTCCATCGATGACCTGCGTACCGATTGGCGTCAAACCAGCGATCCAGAATGCGGAAACAGAAACGACTTGAGCTTCCCCCGCGGGTTCTAGCCTGGGGCTTTGCTCCAAAAAGTGCCCCAGGAAGGTGCACCATTTGCCGTCGCCCACCTAGTGGTGTGATATATGAGACTTTGCGAGGGGAACATAATTCAACGCAGAAAAAAGATGCGCCCAGTTCCAAAAGCACGACGTGGAGCGGTATGCCAGGGCAAGGGGTTGAGAGTCACAAGCACGTGGTGCCTCCCTGCCACAGCTGCCATGAAGGTTACATGGATGAAAGATGGCCGCCAAACCCCTGCTCAAAAGGATTTGGTTGCCCCAATAGAAGCTCAGCAACCAACTCACAGACATTGCAGGATACTACTTGGACCTCTGCCTGCCACACAGTCACCCTCGCGCCTTGAACATGTCCGCACTCAGCGGCCCGGAACCAATCACCGGCGGGCCGTCTCCCACGCCTCAAGCAAGATGCCCAACAAAGCTGATCCGATGGAACGCCTTCGGCTGTTCATGTCCGGCTGTTCAGAGCCAAGCCTGGCCTCGCCAGACTTCACGTACATGCACGCACGCACGCGCCATGCACCCCACGCGTGTGAAAAAAACACGCAGTTGTGCAGTGTACCGCAGTCCCCACGACGCTGCCTGCCGCAATCCAAAGGCTCGGCCTGGCCCTTGGCCCGCAACGAGGCCGGAGAGTGTGCTGGTCATCGGTGTCTAGGATGTTTCGACGCCACTGCTGCAGTGCTGCTGTGCGAAACAAGTTCTGCTGGTGCCAAGCGTGAGAGGCAGAAGCTTCTGCTGCAAATGACGCAGACTCCTTGGATTGGGCAGGTGGACGCATGGTGATGATGCAGAGGACCCCTTGCCAGTGCAGTCGGCCTGCGATTTCTTTTGGAGGTCGGTTCCAATCAAACAACGGCACGGTCCCCAACGGGATGACCTATTGGCTATTGGACTCAAAGTGAACTTTACATCTCGTATTCAAGGCACGACTTGACGACAAAACTCACTTTTCACAAGGGAACAACATATAGAAAGGCAAATGTTTGGTGCAAGCACGCTTGCAAGCAAACCTCAGTACATCTCATTCCAAAAAGTGGCGATAAACATGGGAAGATCCTTTGCTGGGTGAATGCCGCTTTTCGGATCTCTTGGCATGGGCACTCTGTGCTGCACCTATGACCACCGCCAGTGGGCTCGTGTTGCTTCCTCAGAGGCCCGAACCGGTTCTGACGCGGTGTCGCGACACCCAAACATACTTGACCCTTAGGCTAAGAAGCGGCCTCATGAATGCTATCTCTGCAAATGCGCAGGGAAAAAATGTAAGAGAATGCCGCGATGCAAGAGGTGGATTGCTCCAATGGCCAAATCCCTTTTCCGGGCTTCCACGCGTTCCACATAGCCAGGCGTCACCTGGCGCAAAACGAGGCACGAGCCTGTCTGTACATCTGAGGAACTGAGACGGAGTCTGCACACAAATGGTCCGCCCTGCCATCGCGGACTCATTCTCGCAAAGAGTTGGCAATGACCGGTATCCTGAACTCTCGCACACAAGACCAAAACAAAAGAGCAACCTGTTGGGACGAATAAACAGCAGCAGCCAAAACCAGGAAATCCAAGGTCAAAAGAAGACCGTGTCTTCGACCCCAAAGGCAGTCAAATCAAAAGCTTGGCGGGTGGGAAAACGAACCACCCGGTTTGAGTGCCGTCTTTCTGACCTGTGACTGGCTCGAAAAGTTCAAAAAGTGTGTGGGCCCAAAACTTTGTGGGCCCTACACAGAAACCCACTACCAGCAGAATGTGTTGACGTTTCTCGCAGCTCGATTTGCAAGCCTTCCTTGCCTTCCCAAGCCGCAACACGGGGGAAAAAGGCGAAATCTAACCAAACCAAGACCAAGGGAAAACGCGCCATGGTCAAAGCCAGGGTGTCAATATATCGGATGGGATGGTAATTTTCTGGGATGGCTCATGTTCTAGGGATGTGATCCACATATAAACACGACAATATAGAAGACCCTTTGTATAAGCCATGGTGAAAACTCTGTTTCTTTGGCCGATGGGTCAGGGTTCCTTCAGGAATCCTTACTATCAAGTGGATAACCATCCCTGTCAAGCGAACTCAAAACTACGAGTCCCTTTTTGGGATGCTGAGAAAATGATGAAAAGCAACCGCTGTTCACCTGAACCCTATCCCAAAAAAATAAAACGAGACACCCACCGCCCCATTTGCCACCTGGTCGTCGCACACCCCCCCCCACCGTCCCCCGTCTTCCCGTCGCCTGGGGCCCGGCCACGCCCAGCAGCCCGGTGAGCTCCTCCGCGCTGGGCGGCCGCGGCCTGAAGTCCTCGTCCAGCAGGAAGACCTCGCGGCTGAAGCGTTTTGCGAGAAACGACTCGCGGCTGGCTCCATGCCTGGGGGGGGGGGGTGCTGGGGAGGAGGGGGGGGTGGGGGGGGGCTTGGGGGGCGGGGCTGGGGCTGCGTGAAAGGTATTTCTCGTGTTGACCCCGGGGATTGATTTGTTTCAAAATACAAAAGAAGAGTTGATTCTTGGGGCGTGAGTGAAATGTGGGGAGGTAATGTTGATTTCGGAGTAGTCAACCCAGTTGGGGTGTCAACCTGGGTGTGGGGGATTCAGAGCACGTTTGGAGGGGAAATACAAACTGGGGTTGATTCATGTGGGGTCAACATTGAAGGAATGGGACACAAACTGTTTGGGAGGGGAAAAGGGTGACACTAAGCTGGGAAGGAGGGGGGTCCACTTTGAGCTGAAGTGTTCTCTAAGAAGTTGGATCACTTCAATGCTACCGTTTGGGGGGTATGTGTCAAATAGGGGACCGACCCAATATGACCCCCGTAACGTAACAAAATTATATAAAGGTACTCAAAAAAAACGCGCAAAACAAATGACCCCTGTAATAGTACCGCAAAAAACCGCGCACCTTGCCGCTTCTTCGCCAAATCATTTCGCGCCTTGGCCCCGTCGCTCACGGAGCGCATGGCGTGCGCCGGGCGCCCGTCCGAGTGCGCGAGCTCCAGGTGGCAGGAGGCGAAGGTCAGGAAGTATTCCTGACGCGCTCGGAGGGCAGACACCGACTCGGGACATCGGAAAACGGGAAATCAGACCTTGACCCTTCGTCTCGAGAAAGGAACACAAAAAGGATTGCGACATGGGGCTGGCGATGCTCAAACTGCCGACCCAAAGGAAGGCCATGTCAAGGGTGGTTGTAGAATCGATCCCCTTCCAGTTCTGGAGGAATCTCCATTTGGGATCCTTTCTCAGGTTTCATGTCGAAAACACCATTGACTACTTTCCAGGTGCGAGTTGCAAGTTACATGACGAGGATGGTCAGGTTTGGATGCCCCTTCGACGTTTCATCAGTGATCCGAGTTTGGCATGGTGTTCAAAGCGAAACAAAGACAAACAAACCCCTTGTCTGGTCGACCCCTACTTTACGATAATGGAATAACCACCATTTGGTGAACAACTGAGGCAACCACGAAGTGGGAATCTGGCATGTTCCTGCCGCCCGCTGGAAAAGCCATACACTACCCAGCGGGGGGTTTACTTGCGGCCAAATTTAGAGACTTCACTTCTCTTTGCTGCTCATGTGTGAATGCCTGGGGCACAAACCCGAGAGGAACGACGGGGACAAGAGCCAGCCTCTGAAAAACTGTGGGCCAAAGTCACTGGGCAAAGCGCGACTCTCTTTCACGCCGCAGGTCGGCCTCAAAATGGGTAGGAATACTTGTTGGATGGTTTGAAGGGAAAACCAGGAGGCAACCATCCGCTTAGACGGGCTCCTCACCTTGAGACACACCCATATGGTCACAACTCAAAACTTTACCATGGCTAAACCAAACAAAGGCGTGTCGAGTTGAGCACGAGGTGTGTTCAATCAAATCGCAAGCGTCGCAGTTTGGATGATTAGCCATCTGAAAACGGGTAAGAAATCAGAAACGACTAACGTCCCCAATCTGAATAGGCTCCCTGTGGTTGAGGAAAACCTTCATCATGGAATGATCGTTGCCCGAAATTGGTGTAGCTCAGCACAATGCAATCATCTCTGGGTTTTGGCATGTCTTGGCAACATGAGGAACCTGCAAAGGCAGTGTCAAAGGCAATGCAGCAAATAGTAGTGGAAGTGCTGCGAGAGCAGCAGTGCAGCTTTAGCAGTTGTAGCAGCAGTAGCAATAGTACTGGTAGCACTGCAGTTTTTCGTGGACCTAGTTGCCAAGTGAAGTTGAAGTAGGGGAAACCCAGGGTTAGCATTTTTTAAGAATGAATAACCGGGTGCTATCAAAAGCGCCCATGCAAAGGGAAACAAGCCACATTGAGTCATGAGAAGCCCATGGCTTCCAGCCTCAGCTTCAAGCCCGAGGTGCGGTGGCAATCAGCAGGTCCGCCACCTTCACCCCGGCGCGCTTCCAGGCCTTTCCCAGCTCCACGTCGCAGCGCTCCGCCTGAGCCGCACATCGCGTGCCTTCGTTGGCACGGAAGGCGCCGTGGCTCCCCTCAAACAAAATGAGCTCAGGTGATATCCCCAACAGCACGCGGCACTCTTTTTCGAAACCTCACATCCAGAGCCCTTGCGGAACTGTCGCGGAACCCTCGCGGAACCCTGTCAAACCCTCGCGGAACTCTGTGGAACCTTACCTCAGAGCCGCCCCAGACCACGACCACGAGCCCTCGCACTGCGGAACCTTGCGCACCTGCCTTGAACCTTACACCTGGCCTGCGCCCACAGCTGGCCTGCACCAGACCACCCACCTCCGGAACCTTGCCCGAACCTGAGGAGCTCACCCCCAAACCTCATCTGGGCTGAGACCCTTAGCTTTCATTGGGGAAATAACAAACATGCGGCCACCCAAAAAGGGAGGGCGAGATTGTTCCTTCAAGAACCCCGACAAGGTCGTTTATCTCCTTTTGACCCGCTTCAGGGTTTGTTCAAAGGGGTACAGGGACACCGAAGACTGAAGCCACTTTGGAGGACTGGAAACCTAAATGTATGCCGTGAGGATTTTGGAACCCGAGCTTGGGGTTCCTGTTGAGGGGAGCCAGGCACCTTTTAGAATGAAGGATTCAAGGTGACACCACGAAAACTTAGCTTGCCCTGAAGTAGCTTAAGGATTAATGGAGGTCAGCTAGCTGGGAGAGTTTGCACATGATGCTCCATTGACATGCAAATGAAAAAATGTAGAATTAAGGATGACCACCCGTTCGCTCCCATTCCTTCTCTCGTCAACTCGCTCCGGCATAGAGACTTACCTGGTCGATTGGGGATTGTCCAGTAGAAACCTCCGGATTAGGAATGACGGCTCCCTCCTTCCCACTTGCCTGAATCACACATATGTGTTTAGCAGTTTGTTTGCATCTCATCCCATCCCTTGCTTTCATGAGTCATAGAAAGAGAAAGGGATGGGCTGCTTCTCTCGTTCTCGTCCTTCATTTATTTGTTTATTATTTCATCTTCTGCGTCTTGGCATGTCATCTTTCTGTTGGAAGCCATTTCGTTATTCTAGCTTGTATGGCTTCCAAGTCCTTGTCATGCTAGTGTTGTTTCGCTGGCTTGTTAAGGTGGGACTCCAAATCCCAAACCACCCTATCGATGGCTGCCTGTCGATTGAGATGTTTGAGCATGGCAAAAAGCCACGGGAAACCAAAGCCTCCAGGAATCTGACTCAGTTGAGCCCATACTAATCAACCAAAGATTAATATGTGGTTCATCCATACCAACTGCGGAATTGTGTCCAATTGAGAAGGCTACAGCGGCAGGGGTCAGCGCACTAGATTCCGGTCATCTGCGCACTCACCAACCTCTTCTCATTTTTGCTTGTGGCGCCAGAGTCACATTCCGGGGTGGGGTGGGTCTGGTGGTGGGGTGATTGTGGGGCTGTGGGTGGGGTTAAGATGCTGGAGTGTGGGGTGGGGCGGGGTGGGGGGTGGGCCTGCTCCAAGCAAACAGCCACAGCCCCAGCCCTGACCTCCGAGCGCAACCAGCCCGCGAGTGCACAGGTGAACGCGAGCACGTGCCGGCGAGTGCGCGAATGACCGCTGCGCGATGCTGCACGTTGCAGCAACGCACCACGTGTGTTCGCTCGGAGAGTGCACAAACGACCGCTTGGCGAGTGCAAGCGACCGAAATCCGAGTGTACAGACGACCGCTTTTGCGAGTGCACAAACAACCCCCTGCCCGGCTACGGCCCCTCACAATCTGTGGTTCCCGCCATCGCAGTGGCTCCTTTGTCACTTTGGACACAAGTTCACCAAAACTCCTGCCCATATTCCCGCCATTTCCCTCCTAGTCACTGATATCGCTGCGTCTTTTTTCGAGAAACTCGAAACTGCAACCATGGGAGGCTTTTCCTTTGGCTTTCCTTTGAAAACAAACACAGCCGCCAACTCCAAAAAGATACGAGCCATCACCTGCGCAGAGCCAACAAGTCCCGACTTGAGCGCCCGGCCCAGCTAAAGAGCACCTTGAGGCTGCTGGGCGCGTTCTTGGCCCCAGGCCACAGGTTGTTCCTGGGCCGTGGCTACCCAGATGCCGAGGTCCCGAAAGCTACGTTGGCCGTTGACATGTTTGCAATGGCTTGGATTCAATGTTGCTTGAAAGCAATGCCTGCACAAAGACATATATATATATGTATAGAGAGAGAAATATATAGGGTGCTTCAGCTGTTGGAAATGTGACTTGCATAAATGTCTACCAGACATGCCAACTTGGGAAGTGAGAAAGGCTTCGGCACCGCGGAACCGGGTGCATGGCTTCATTGGTGACATGTTGAAGAGGTCAAGCAGCTCTTCGGAGAGTTGGTGGATGGACCAAGTCAAAGGCGCAAGCCCTGGCTGTAACCCGCGACGCGGTGGCTTAAAATCATCAGGTTGACGTCAACCGCAGTCTTCAGCACTGTTCTCAAAGAGCCCAACCATAGGCCTGTTGAGCGTCCTCCAACTAAATCAGTCCAAGCGCATGCATCGCTGTGGAAATTCGGCATTCGCCACTGCCTACTGATTGTCAAGCGCCAGCTTCATGGGTTCTCACGCTGACACCAGAAAACATGTGAAGCAAGCGGCCTCTGTCTTGAGAAACTCAATCACGTTGAAACTGATTCGACTGATCATATGTGAAATGGTCAAAACAGCCTTTGTGGAAAACTTGTGGTTCCCTGAACCATGAAGACCCCAGAACTGATGGCCATCCCATCCCAATGATCCTGCAGGTAACCCTTCAAGGCCTTGCCTTACCTCTGGCTATGTCTACTGTTGAAAAAGCTCTTACCATCTCTTACCCACCTTATGCTCATCTTTCTCTCCTATCATTGACCCCAAACTATAACTATGACTAGTACCAAACAATAATTAAAGAAACATAATTCACAAAGAAGTGTTACGTGATACAAAGCTGGGATACATGTTCAACAAACAAATCGCGTGAAACATATATATATATATATGTATGTATATTACATACTGAAGCTTGGCAAGCAACGGCCATATGTATAGTTTTATGTCGATTCAGTGATTCAGACGCCAGGAATGCCGGGCCTCTCAAGCCTCATTTTCCAAGATCAGACAAGTTTCAGCTATTGACACCAGGGGATGAATTGACACTCAAATCATGGTGTGCATTGACACCAGGGTTCATGTCCATGCCCAAGCACAACTTTGATGTCGCAAGTCGTCCGTCTATCGCTCGAATTTGCTCGCAACCCGCCAACACCCCCAAAAAATGGCTTGCCCTGGTGAGCCGGGGCTATTCGGCACAAAACCCACATGCTGATTCCCCAGCTCAAAACCGCAAACTGCAAACGCTCGAGGGAAACAGCCTTCGCGGTTTCAAAGTTTGGAGGCTGTCTGTCGCACCGACCAGGACTCGGAACGCACTTTTTTGAAGCAGGGCACGCAAGGTTTCAGCACATTCGCGCCGCAGCAAAGCTCTTTGCAGACACCATTGGCTTGCAAGATGCTCCCTCCCACCTAAAAACAAAAAGTCCCATTGAGAGGAAAATATTCTTCTACGGCCGCCCCTGCCTGAGACTCCATGCTTGTGGGTGCAATGATAGCCTTGTTGGGGTTGTTTCAAGGGTAACCAAGGACAATAGAGATATGCAATTGGGGAAGTGCCGCCCACATGATCCATTCTTCCGTTGGTTAAACCATAGACCCTGAAGGAACCACCAAAGGCAAACTCTCCTCTCCCCTAATCGGTCCGCCCACACGGTTGACAAAAGAACAATGTGGGTATTTGAGTACGGCGCATCCAAACGGTGCTGGGTTTTGTATCGGTCTCGCTTCAAGTCTTGCAAGGGATGCGCAGCCAGGTTCGGAGAGCCTTCCTCTGCAAACCATGGGCCTTACAAAGCCCCCCGCAAGTTCGCATCACTGCGGATCACAGCAGATTGGGTGCCCCACACGGGCGCGTGCCGGGACACAGGTGGAGTGGGCAGGAGGTCGACACCTGAAATCACGAGCGGTGAATCTTCCCTGGGCTCAGAAGCCGAGTTGAGTTGCCGAAGAAAGCCACAGCTGTGTCGGGCTACTAGATGAATATGATGAATTGTGTCAGCAGGTGAACAAGTGCAAATCGATGCAATCGCCAAGAGCAGTCCGTCACAACCTGAAAAGGTGGGGTGGACACATTCAAGTCTAAAGGGGAACGGCCCCACATGCATTGCTCGCCCTGGCGCAGAGAACACCGGTAAGTGGAACGTCCTTGAGAGCCGTCCTCTCCGCCAGCTTGACTATTTGCCCCATGGAAAAAAGTGCTTGGGCCAACTGAGGGTGTTGACCCTGTGGCGTCCTCTTGCGACTCCAAAACAAGCAGTTCACCCGCCAGGATTTTCCGGCAGGCGGCCACGCCGCGTCGGCTTTGCCGAGGCTGAAACGAAAATCGGGACACCTTTGCAGTCCTTTGGTCTGAAATGCCATGCGCGGCAGGGGCCGCAAATTATCGGATTACTCTTTTCCCTCAGCGAAAGAGCAAGAGGGGTGTCCCCAAATATAGGAGGGCACCATGTTGAGACAACACAAATTCAGTCGTTGTATCCCTTGAAGCTTAGTTACAGGAATATTGTGAATGATGGTCACGCGCTTTCTGGCATGTCGAATCCCAATCCAAAAAAGCGGGTTCTTTCACTGGCCAATGGAAAATTAAAACCCAAAGGATGGAAGTGTGCAGGATCAACAAGTTTGAAGCTTGGTCAAATGATCGAAACACACGTGCGGAGGTCAACAAGCTTGAAGCTGACTCAAAACTCGCGTCGGGCGATCTCAAATGTGGGGAGAGACATCAAAAACTTGATGTCGGGGTTTGGGACCTGCTTGGGTTTCATGCTGGCCCCGGTTGGCTCACTTGGAAGGGGGCATTTCAGAAAATAATGGGGGCAGCCCTCAGTGTGTCCTTCGAATTCCCTCTGAATATCAAACACACGTTTCCAGTGGCATATTATTTGTTCTCAAGGAATCACAAGGGATTGTTTGGTTGTTCGGTTTGGGGGGGGCATTCTCTCGGACATGCAAGGGACTCAGGACCAAAAGGTCCTATGCGACCTGTTTGCCGCAGGATGGCTGGCGCTGGCAAACAGCAGAGCTCCGTGCGGATTGCATCGGCGGTCCCAGTGAATGTTCGGGTGTACCCTTCTCACACCAACAAACATGGATTGGTGCACAGGCCCCTTTTGAGGGACGACTTTCCTTTCGGAAGGGTCTGTGCACTTCCGAGTTTGTTGATGGGAGGGTTTACAACACCGGGAAGCGGGCTCTCCAAATGGACAATCCCTCAACACGGACTTCGCCTTTTTGTGGCTGCACTTCACAAGAAGCCCCTTACAGGAGACCCTCCAAGAGCGCGAGAAACTTTCATGGGCTAGCTCCTTTCCACCCTCTTCCCCCAAGCGGAATTTATCGTTGTGTCATTCTCACGCCGAATGCTCAGCGCATGGGCACATCATGTTTTTTGCCACAGCCGAGCATCAAAGACCTACAACGACCAACCTGGAGGGCGGGGGAAACAACAGTTGCAAAAAGAGAAAACCAAAAGACGCGGTAGAGGATACAACCTGGTTGAGACAGAGTGGCTTGCCTCCGTTCTTCTTTTTTCTCCGTTTGTGAGGGTTTCTGGGATGCTGTCAATTGGTGTCAATTTGGCCCTCAAAACGTATACATGCTACAGGGGCTTTGTGTTTGGCTTGCTTTTGTTTGCGCGGCCATCCACCATATCCCTTTTCGACTCCCATGCCGAGCCAGGGCCACCTTTTTTGAACCGAAGGCATCGCGACTTGTTGATAGCTATCCACCTGGGCAGGGGTTTCCTGTTCTTTGACGGTCTGCAAAGCATCCGAGTCCCGGCGTCCGAGTCATCCGAGTTCCGGGACCGAACTCAAACCGAAAAAGGG